TGTACCTGTATATAAAAAACGCGCCCTATAGTCCGGTGCGCCTTATGTGTGTGTTAAATACAGAAATGGGACACATAACTGAGAGTGCGCCTTTTAGTCCGGTGCGCCTTATGGTCGTGAAAATACGGTATAAAAAATCAGTTTTCAAAAGACATTTTGCAGAACAAAAGAGGTGGTTAAGAGAGCTGCAATGTAAGAACATAAACTAAAACTGTTCATATAAATGTTTTACAGCTTCTCAGTATAGGAAATAAGGCACCAGTTTTAATAAGTAGTCTATCACATAACCTACTGCTACTCTACTCTTTTCTTGTTTGAGTCTTATAAAGGTTAAGGGACCTATATCATGTAAAATAAGCTTTTTTTGAGCTGTTAACTGCTCCTTTTATAAAAGGCTTTAAAGGTTTGACTATTGTTCTTAAAGTTATTCATGAAAGCAAAAGAAAATGGGTTCTGAGCTCTCCAAGGTGACATAAACCTAGCCTAAGCTTGGCATGTGAAGATGTAATGAAAGAAATTGGATCTTTTTGCCGTGAGAACTAATAGCAGACTAACTCGACTGGATTCCTCATATCTTTCAAGGTCGCTTCATATTTAGTTAAATGGAAAAGGAAGGACAGATTGAGAGGACTGTTTAAACCGCAAAAAACACAAAGCTACAGGTTTATCAATCGTTAAGGTTATTGATTTGTGGATTAGTCTAAAGTTGATATATTGTTGCTTTCAGAGGTTTGTTAAAACTTGGCTCCATGAGAAGCATTAACACACAAAAGCCTTTTCATCTATTTTAATCCAAGCACACCAAAGAACTTGATGCTGCTCTGCCATGCAGCACAGCTCAATGGGCAATATTTAGGTACCGTAAGAACTTTAAGAGGTAACCAAGTGTTTATTTTTCAAACAGAGCCGCATAAAGTGCCTCTGCATCCTTGTTACCACTGAACAACAGGGGTGTAAAAAAATAAAATAAAATAAGAAGAAATTTGACTCATCAGATATTGCAATATTTCATCAGATATCTGAATCGATATAACTGAATATTGTGATATTTTATTAGATGCTATTGATATTGATTTAAAAACCTGCCAAATGGATCTTAAATATATAAAGATTTACAGGCAAACATCCATTTCATTGTCTTGCTTTTATATAACTATTAAACCTCCAACCACTAGTTAGCAGCGCATTGCCCAAGAGCCTATAATTATTCAGCTGCTCTACACCAGCTGGAGCAGAGCAACACGATTTTGTGATGTTTTCTGTAGCTATGCCATCATAAAAATAAAAAAAATAGAAATAAAAAAGTCAAAAAATATAATTGTTAATGTATCTGAATAAATCAGGATAAACGCTGACATGATACATGTAATTTGATGCGTATCGTGTTGAAGATCTTTACAATTCACAACCTTACAGGCCAAATAATCCGATCGGTTTATGTTTCATCTCTAGCTTAACCTCTCTTTGCAATAACACTGAGGTTCCAACTAATGTTACTACACCGAAAGAATTTTTTTTTGAGGATACGTTATCAATTTATCATATGAAAGATATTTTCAATTAATAATACATTAAGCTACGGTTAATGGCAAGCCAATTTATTTTGTTTACATCCCTAGTAGCCATGTTGGCTTTAGATCCCTTGTTGAAACCTTTAATGTCTATATGAGATAAGAAAACATTTAGCTGCTCCTTGTATTTCTAGACATAGAAACAAGTTTCTTTCAAACTCTGGTAACAACAATAAGCTTGGGAGTAGGAAACGAAAGGGACTAACAATGGATGGAACTGCAAGGCCTGCTAGCTTTAAAGGTGAGAGATGTTTACATTAGCTTGGATGTCAAGGAGCTAATAGAAAGATAGCAGTAAAAACGAGTGAGTAGGCTGGAGATTTGAACAACTTGGAGGGGAAAGAGGGTGTGATGAAAGTAATTAAATAAACAAGGAATGTTACCTTTATGCAGCAGATCTTGACCCCTTACTAAACCAACTAAACCAAAACCATATACGCCACTTATCCTTCAAAGCAAACCAATGCAACTTTTTTTTCTTAATGCAGATAAAGCCCAATGTCTAGAAAAAAAAAACATACAAATGCACGAGCCAAATCCAATAAAAAAAAAAAAAACTGCCAGATAAATCTGTCCACAATGTGCATAAAGATGATCAAGGTTTAATGGTAAACAAAGCCAAACACCAAAAAAACTCCCCACCTCTTTTTTAGCATCATTAGCGGGCACCACAGACTCTAGTTCCCATCACCTCCTCATGGAGAGGGGAGAGAATCCCCTCTGGTAATGAAGGCTTAAACCGCTGCCTCTCTGAGTGGAGTCACCCATCCATCAGTGCATGTCTGGGTCCAACCATGGAGGACACCCCCACTAATTGCAAATGATTTTCTCGTGTATGCAATGTGGTTTTCAAATGGATTTGGATAAAAACAACAAAAATGTGTATAGAATTTGTCAAACCGACATGACCACAATAATATTACAACATCAACACTTTATGTGACACTAGACTGTCAGTTCTGTGTTTGGAGGATCTGTGCAGCCAGCATGAGAGCTGCTGAGAGACTGTCAGACAGACGGGCTCTCCCTAAAAGCACACCATCACAATAAGGAAGTATTGGAGCCTCCATCAGGAAGGCTCCCTCCTCCACTCTCCATATAGGACAACTCTGATGACCCACATTAAGGATCACCACAAGGAAGCCTTTCTCCTCCAGACTAATTGACTCAGATGCCAGGACGTCCACAGAGAAATATGAGCCTGTGTGTATGAATACGACTGTAGAGGTACTCAAATGATGCAGAGACAAAGCCCCCCCTCCAACCCCCAACCCTCATGCTCCCTACCTCCTCCGACACCCCCAACGCGATGCAGGGGTATGGTGCCCCATCCCCCGGGAGCGTGCGGTCCTCTTGCAGGATGCTGCTCCTCTTTGTCTGTCTCGCTGTGTGGCAGGCTGGTTGGCTGACTGAGGGAACGAATGAACGCGTGTGAGGCTTGTTTCTGTGCTACATCAAAAAAACCCTGATCTCCTCTCATCAACCCCCAACACGCAGTCAGCTCGTCATCCCAGCATCCGACCCCCTGATTATGTGGTATCCTAGCGACAGCCAATGAGGTGCTTATGGAATCCTCGTGCAGAGCAGCATACCGATTGGGCGACGGGACACTCTCTAATGAGGGTGATGGCAGTGTTTTACTCTCCCTCTCTCCTCCCCCTCCAATGCTGCATGAATACTGAATCATTTTAAATTCACTGAACGAAAGAAACGGGCCGTCGTCATTTAAATTTATAGCCAAGTGGGCACAGAGTTTTAAAATACAACAGCTTTAATTATTGCAATCAATATTTTTTTTTTTAATCAACCCTCAGGAATTAGATTTCCTGTTTTTGTTTGACATCCTTTAGTTTTAATCTGCACTATGTGGCAAATGCTTTTACACCCATTATTATTATCATCATCAAAAATTTCACAAGCCTATATAAATGTTTTATGAAAAACTGCAGTATATTAAAATTCAGACATTAAATTGTGATCTCCCAAAATAAAACAAATAAGAAAAATGTGATTCTTGGGTAAGAACCTTAGGTGATAACCGAGTGTTTATTTTACAATCAAGTACCTCTGCATCCTTGTCACCACTGAACAACAGGGGTGTAAAAATAAAAAAAGAGGAAATCTGACTCATCAGATATTGCAATATTTCTCAATGGGTCCCATTTGTCCAACTTTAACAATGATTCTTTAAATGATCACATTTTATGGTAAAACACAACTGGAGTCACAACAGTGAGGCATCCATTTATAGAAGGAACAGAAAGAATACGCATAAAAAAAAATAAAAATCACATTAAGATGAGTAAAATTGGAGAGGTTTCAGGCAGAGTATAAACTTGTCTTAAATGATATCAGAATTCATTTCTGTGGGACAGAGTGGATGAAACCCAGAGATAATGGCATACTGATGGTCTGCCCCCAGAACAATAATGTGCCATCCAACAGTCTGCCTATGAAATATAGCTATTTGCTGGTACAATGTAGAATTGATTGGGGCCAACCATGCATGAACCTCATTGATTACCATCTTCTTATTAGCATATAGATTAGCTAATGGTGCAGCCAGAAACAGAAGCCTGGAGTCTCCCACTTGGCTTGCAGAGCTGCGCACCAGAAGGGGTCAAACAAATAGCAAAGACATCAGATGGGACGACTCATTTGGAGGTGTGGTTTTTATATGATGATGGACCTGAAGATCTGGAAGCTGCTAATCAAAAGAAGAGCCAAGCAGTAAAACAAAAGCTTCATTTTCATCAAGAGTTTCAAGGCATCTTGTGCTAAAACAGAAATCTTATTAATGGCTTTAAATGAGTGAATAAATAAGGCGTATATAAAGTGACAAAAATGCTAAATGCAAGGAGAGAACAAAAAACAGTACATTTTAAAAATGTCTAAACGGGCCAGCTTTTTAAAAAACAAAGCTGGCATATATTTATTACCTTAAGGGGTTGAATAAATTCTTTAGATGAGTTCATTGATGTGTGCCCTCAATTATGTTTTAGCGGGGAGTCCCTACTCAATAATTACCCAAAATGTGTGCAAGACCTGCCAGGCAGACTCATTAATTTTTATGGTCAGAGTCGCTGGTTTAAATGCTTCAAGAAAACAGACATGTTGCTATATATATATATATAAATAAGCAGTTCCCCACAAACACACGGAAGCAGTTATATCTGACTAAGTTGTTTTTATAAACTTTTTTTTGTATTTAAGATTTTACATGCAATGATAAACAAATTTCATGAATTTTAATGCCAATTAAGGCCTTATTAAAAAATAATTTAATGACTTATAATGACCTGTGGAAATAAGTCAATAGTCCATTATTTTCCAAAACATTAAGGAAAAAATGTTTCTAAGCACAATTTTAAATAGTGCAAATATTTGACATGCATTATTTTTATCGCTTTAATAAGGTTTGCTGATTTTGAATAATTTTTCAAGAAAACTTAGAGATCACATGCTAAAAAAATTGAAATTTGCTATGCTAGTTTATTTTTATGATGATTGAATGCTAATTTAAAACAGATGCAGGGGAAGGTAACAAAATATAAGACGAGGAGGTACCACTTCCTCACAAAAGAATTTCATGAAGCCACCAGCAAGTGAAATAAGTTATCAAAACCAAAACTGTAACTTTTGAGCCAAGTATTAGCTTAATTTGAGATGCATTAAATTACTACAAAGAGTATCAATCGTCTTTGTAGGCTTTTCTTCTCAAAAACTTGCCTATGTCACTTGAGAAGGTTGGATCCATCAATTAATCAATTATGTGACCCAGAGCGGCACTTAACCTCAGTCTGAGCTCCCCTCAAACAACAGAGCAGCAAACAAAACAGATGAGACACTTTTTGGTGCTCTGATGTAGATAGAATCTAGAGTGATGAGTGTGGCCTTGTCTTTACAACTCCATGACTTCTCAATTGGCCGCTCCAAAGTGCCTGGTGTCAGATAAAAATAAAAAATAAAAATTGAGAAACTGATTAGGGTTTCATTGGCTCTAAACCTGGAGGCAGCACATCGTGCCCCTACTGGCTTAAAGTTCAAGTGTTGCTTAAAATAAGGAAAAAACGCATATAAAACTAGGTCATTTGTATATACTTGCCCTGAGGCCTAAAAAATGGCAGTGCTTTTTAAAGCTAAGCAGTGCCTATGTAAGTGTATTGAAAAATGTGTCCAGGTTTTAAGACCAAGTTGCTCAGGTCCCAGTAATTGTCCATCTGTTTCCATTAGACCTTATCTTAACAGCTGAGTAAACTGGCAACAAATAAGCCTAATTATATTTCAGGTTGATTGTGTCAAGTATCTGTACATTTCCAAAATGTGCAGCCCATGATGTGAAGCTGAAAGAGAACTTGGCTTTCAGTTTTCAAAGATCCTTAGGGGCTCTTTCCATTTAGACCAATTAAAAACAAAAGGCTCAATACCTGCTAAATTGCTACGACCTCTTAAACCACAGGAGAAGCAGACTATAAAGGTGGTGACAAGGAAACTGAGCCATACGTGGACAGAAAGACATTTTCATACTAAATCATTGCACCACAGTTAAATAGTTTTAACAAAAGTCTTGCCAATTACCAGCAGGACTACTTCCAAACTGTTATTTCTAATCAGTGTTCCTGACTTTATCCTGGGTGTATTTAACACACAAAGAAAAATACATTTGTCAAATATGAAAAAGATTAAAAGCACCAAGAAATATGGAGCTCCTTTCTAAATCACACTAGAGGTTAATTAAAAAGGAACTAGTAAAGTACGCAGAGAGCGCAGACTTCAACCAAGTAGCAAGTTTTGCCCAATCTTGTGACTTACACCTATAGCTAGAACCCACACATGATCTGGATTATTGTCAAATTGTAGTAGATTGTTCCTTGGAACGAGATGCACCTTTGATAAAAAGGTTCATCAAAAACCGTTCAGAACTTCTCAAGTTATCCTGTACACAGACAGACAAACACATGCAAACTCTACTAAAAAAAATAACCTCCTTCGCGAAGGTACGGTAAGTAAAATTTACTAAAAGTTGGTTTGCATAATTTTTTTTCATAAGTTTTCATACTAAACATGGTGATACTAGTATTGTATCATCATTGTCAGTAATGTATTCTAAATTACTGACAAAGTGTGAACCTCTGCCTCATGTGGGAACGCAAACTGACATTTTCACCAAGTTCATCAGCCTTTGCTCTCATTAAAATTGGTCTGACCGAAAGCAATTCGCAACGCAGACATATTCGCCAGGGGGGCCAAAGGCTCCAATGTCAAAGAGTCTGCTGGTTGCCGATTTCCACAAAGGCAGACATTGATTTCTCTCAGCAAATTGCAGTGATTGTTGTACGTTTGAAAGAGGAAAAAAACCTTTGGTGTCAATGTCCCTGGGTTCACAAGTGAAAATGCAAAGATTTCCTCAGTCAAATAGAGAGAAAAATAAGGAAAGTGATGTAGAAAAGGAAGCCACAGAATCAGAGAATCCAGCGTATCCTAGGGGGAACCTGGTTTGTATTTATTTTCTGAACAAATTTAAGTGCAGAGATTAGATTTGAATCTCCTTTTAATACATTTTGTCTCAAAAGGAGCTCCAACAAGTGATGGCGGAAACTCCATAAATATTTAAGGTATTTTTTGAATGTGTATTCTAATTTTTTTCTTTTTTCTAAAGAATATTTTGATTTCACAGCTGTTCCTAAAAAAAATGCCTTTCTTAGAAGAAAAAATAAAAAAATTTTATAGTCTTTTTTTGTTTATTCATTTTTTTTTTGTGTTTTGTTGATCCATTTACATGACAGTTTGCCGTCCTGTCTAGACATTTTATGCCCCCATTACTTTTTCTAGATTTGCTCTACAAGACTTAGACTTGGACAGACCTTTATTGATCCCTTGGGAAGACTTCCTCCGGAAATTAAGGTTACCAACAGCTTACAGGGCAAAAACATATCAAGTGAAATTAAGTTAAAATTAAGCAACAAAAAAGTATTAAAAACGTTAAAAAACAGTAAAAAAAAAAAAGTAAAAAGTATTACAAACTGCAGCCAAGAGTCATTTATATATATTACAAACCACACACACATTTTTGCATTGCTTTAAGTTTTGAAATGAAAAAAAAAAAAAAGACTAAAGAATCCTGCCAATTTAACCAACTAACTGCTGGTGAGCAGTTTCCTGTAAAAACAATAGCAGCACCCTGCCCCTGCAGTAGTAAGCCTATAAAAAAAAATGAATGATATTAGTCCTGAAATAATTTATTCATTGATAGCAAAGGGCCTCCACAGAGCTCCCCCTCCAGGCCGCAGACAAAACCCACAGCAGGGAGGGTAAAGTGGGGAACAACAGCACAGCATGTCAGTTCCATGTCATATTAAGTATAAACAAAGGGAAACTTGGGGCTCAAACAGAACAAGTTGACTGCCTTTTCAAGCGTAGGGAATCGGCAAATTGGCAGCACACCATGGTTTAAATCTTCAAAGCTGTAAAGACTCCATACATGTGGCAGCACCACATTTCTACC